TATATATATATACACACACACACATACTCAGTCTTAAAAAAACAGACGATTTTGAAATCTACCCAGAGGGGTGTCTTTTTATAAAGGTATGTCAAAAACGGCAAACGTATTTTAGAAAGTCTTTCTTAAATGAGCCCGACATATTGAACCAGGACAAAGCTGTTTCATCACAGCAGCAACAGTTCGCTTCTTAGAAAAAAGACCCAAGATTACAAGCAAAGTTCCCGTATGTCAATAGTGAGGAAAATGGGCATGTTAAGACAAATCTGTGATGTTCACTGCCACAGAATGCATGTCGCAACATATCACAGAACAAATGACCTACACCAGTACCAGAACCACAACAGAAGAGAACTTCTGGCAAACTGAAATCAACTCAAAAATGATACATTTGAATTTATCTTTTGATCTCCTTTAACTGCCAGATTTCTGGATTTCTGTTTCTTTCTTTCTTCTTTTTTTTCCTAAGTGACATTTAAAGAGAGAACATATGCTTATGATTCTGATATATACACAGACGTACAAATAAAGCTGGTTATAATTCTGATTTTCAGTTATGTACTGTGGGGGGCTCTGTCAGTAACCATTACGGGTGTTTACATTGTTTTCTATTTTATTAGGCCTGGCTTAAGTCATAGGCAATTTTTCTTAACGAAACATCCTTCACATTATACAGTAAGAAGCTGTATTCACGGGCATGCAGAAATCATGGACATGAAGTGAATGAAGTGAAGCAGAGACATCACTGAAATGAACTTGTTCCGTTAGTAACACCATTAACATTGGCGTTAGCTTACCTGCTGTATTCGTAATTTCCTCCTCCGTTCATATTCCTCCCGTATTATCCGAGCTTCTTCGTTCGGACTGAGTCGTAATTTGGCCACTTTTCTCTTCATTTTCCTCAAATATTGCTAGTGGCCATTTTACCAAAAAGCAGGTAATGTTAGCAACTCCGTTAGCCGTGCTAACGCTAGTTAATATTGGCTCGTTAGATTTAGCTGCATTGTGCTGTAGGATTCACTACCACGGACATCCTGGTTTAGCTAAATCGTTAAACGTATTCGAATATATTATGGAAATTGTGACGTCACCGAACAAAGACGAAATCAACCCCATGAGTTTTGTTTAAGAGCAGAAATCCATGCCAACCTGACAAAAAAACAAAACGTGAACGTTTTTGTCCCACACGTCATATCCGGTGGTTTAAACTGCCCGCCGTACCCGTTCCGTGATGACAACAATTCCCCGTGTTTCTTACCATTGACTAAACATAGTTCCTACCCATATTATGTGGGTTTAAAATATATTGTCCTGGCTATATTGTATTAAACTAAAAAATGTTTTATATTTTCAAATCAAAACGAAATGAAAGTAAATAACATGAAGCACCTAGAGCTGCTAGACGCCTAAACCCGTTAGCATCACGCTAGGGGGCAGCAGAGTGCAGTTGTTTTTGTGTAGAGAGAGAAGAGACACACTTCGCTACTGGAAAGTATTCCACAACTCCAGTGAATAACCGTTTGTACAAGTGGTGACTAGTCCATACTAGAGGTAAGACATACATACACAAAAAATATGTTGTTGTCATTTGGGCGTTTCTTTCAAGCTCCGGTTCTTCCATTCAACCTGTGAGATTAGCAAGGGGCTAACGCTAGCTAGACGCAGACATACACAATTAAATGCAGCTAGTGCAGCCGTATTAACAGTTACGTATGCAGTTATTTAGGAAAGAACGCCAGCAAACAAGCCAGCAGTGGTGGAATAAATGTGTATATCCTTTTCTGAAATAAAAGTGCCAATACCACGCTGTGGAAATACCCCAACACAGGTAAAATACCTGTATTCAACACCTAAAAATATGCAACGTTAAGTATTATGTTGCTGTTTTTCTTGTTTGGGCATTTTCTTTATTTATCGTCAATATTTTATGAAGTGTATTTGTGTGTAGTCTACTCTTATTCAAACTCTCTGTAAAATATGTCAACTGAAGAGATCCACTGAGCTGAAGCGCTTTGTGCTCCACTGTGTCTCAGTTTGATGATTTAATCTCGCTGCTTCTCTTCCTCTTATCAGCCTTGTCATCATGTCTGGTGGTCCAGCGGTGAGGGTCAGCATCGAGTCTTCCAGTGAGAAGCAGGTGCAGGAAGTGGCCTTGGATGGAACAGAAACATACGTCCCCCCTTTGTCCATGTCCCAGAACTTGGCAAAGTTGGCACAAAGAATTGACTTCAGCCAGGGATCTGACTCCGAGGAGGATGGGATCGAGGGCGAACCCAGGGACCGCGAGTGGACCAAGCAGGAGCCAGAGGAAGAGGAAGGTAACATGTGCTCAGGAGAGTATGGGACTGTCTAGAATCTGAGCCAAGTCATGTAAAGCTGACTGGCACCAGCTATGAATGATCCACCATTGATTCACTATTTAGATAAATTATATTTCACATGAGAAAAAATAAACTCTTTATTCCCTGATGTTTTCAGCTGCATGGCCTCGTCAAGGTGGTGCATTAACTTGGCAATTTAACTAATGAAAAAAAAGTAACAGCCAGAAAGTTAAGGACTTTCACATCATTATCAAGTCAGACCATCTTATGATAAATAGTTAACACAATAAAACACATTAAAGTAAAATAGCACATCTTTCTGAAACACCTTCCCTGTCTTCAACAATGAATGCTCCAGTCCCCGTGAGCCTGCACCAGGTGGATGGATTAAAAATAAAATATACTTGTATATAATACGAATCATCTGGATTTTGTCCTCTCTGTTAGTATCAAATCTGATTTTCGGTTTTGTCACGCAGGCACGGTGAAGTTTCAGCCATCTCTTTGGCCCTGGGATTCAGTGCGTAACAACCTGCGCAGTGCCCTCACAGAGATGTGTGTGCTCCACGACGTGCTCAGCGTGGTGAAGGAGAAGAAGTACATGGCCTTAGACCCAGTGTCTCAGGATCCTACAGCTAACAAGGTAAACTGCTGAAGAATAGCACTGTCGCTACGATCACTTAAAGGGGCAGTACGCCACAAAATCAAGAAGACTTATTTTTCCTCTTACCTGTAGTGCTGTTTATCAATCTGGATTGGTTTGGTGCGAGTCTCAGAGTGTTGGAGATATCGGCTGTAGAGATGTCTGCCTTTTCTGTAATATGATGGGACTATATGGCACTCGGCATACATCTGGAAAACTCAACAGCAATGTCTCTTTCCAGAAATCATGACCAGGTTCCTCAAGATAATCCACAGACCTTGTTGTGAGCAGTTCATGTAGGAACTATTCTCCTTCTACCGAACTACACCAGCCAATGAGTGAGCACGATCTTCTTGTTCTTCCTTCTGCATGGTGATACAGTTGGCCGGTTCGGTAGGAAGAAAATAGTTCCAACATGAAACTGCTCGCAACAATGTCTGTGGATTATCTGAAGTAACATATCTAAGACATATCTAAGGCAGATATCGCCAAAACCAGGCAACTCGCACTAAAACAATCTAGATTGATAAATAGCACGACAGGTAAGAGGAAAAATGTCTTTTGGATTTTGGGGTGAACTGTCCCTTTAACCTCTGAAGTAGGGTGAGTAAAGATCCTACCGATGATACACAAGTGTTATTGCAACGCTGACGAAATGTTAAAAAACGATGACGTTCTGATGTTTGTATTTCTCAAAGAGATCTGTGCACCTTCTCTTTTTCACGCGCATATTTACTTCCATTCACAACGCTTTATTTTCTTGCCCTCGAGCAGACCCCCCAGGTGTTCCAGCTGATCAGTAAAAAGAAATCATTGGGCACAGCAGCGCAGCTCCTGCTGAAGGGAGCAGAGAAGCTCAGCAAGTCAGTAGCAGAGAACCAGGAGAACAGGAGGCAGAGAGACTTCAACTCGGAGCTGCTGCGACTCCGCTCCCAGTGGAAGCTCCGCAAAGTGGGAGACAAGATCCTAGGAGACCTGAGCTACCGGAGCGCAGGTGAGAAGGCCTCTAAAAGCATTCTAATCTTATTCACGTTTAACTCCCAAGCTAAACATGTTTTGACCGTTTACCCGTGCAGGCTCCCTTTTTCCACACCATGGCACGTTTGAGGTGATCAAGAACACGGACATTGATCTGGACAAAAAGATCCCAGAGGACTACTGCCCCCTTAATGTCCAGATCCCCAGTGATTTGGAGGGATCTGCTTATATCAAGGTGAGAAGGAAACCACAAAGTTCATTAATTGCCCCTTTTTCACTCGCTTCACCGGTGAATATTAGAGTTAGTAATGCATGAATTATTTGGTGGACTACCTGTGTGGTACAGCGATAGCTCTTTTCATTTTATGTTTTTTTTACAATTTCCTTGCTAGTGTGACCTGTGATCATCACCCATACTTTTTTATATTTCAGAAATGTAGTTGTAATAGTGGAACACTCTTTATGTCTTCAGGTGTCCATCCAGAAACAAGCTCCAGACATCGGTGATCTGGGAACCGTCAGCTTGTTCAGGAGGCCGCCGAAAACCAAAGCCGGTAAGGTTCGATATTCCGAGACATGACATTGCTCGTCTTCCGATAGGCGTTGAACTTTTCTCTGCCTGTAGAAATGTAATTGTATGTCTCACCTGAAATGTCCCTGCTCTCTTTTCCTCCACATCCCTTTTATTAAATTTCCTCTCTCCTCACCATGGTCATCTCTTCGCTGTCTTGTCTTCCTTTGTTTCTCTCCAGGTACCCAGCAGTGGCATGTGAAGCTGGAGGCGGCTCAGAACGTTCTGCTGTGTAAGGAGATCTTCGCCCAGCTGTCCAGGGAGGCTGTCCAGATTAAATCCCAGATCCCTCACATTGTTGTGAAGAATCAGATCATCTCACAGCCCTTCCCAGGTCAGAACGCTCATGACGGGTTTTAGTTGAATGTCACCATGAGAAGATCTATGTTTGTTGCATATTCAACATGAAAGTGCATCACTATATGCCTGTGCTACTTTCTAACAGTTCTGCATTAGTATACAATATTTTAAAAGTGGACAAATGACATGTGCATGCGTTGGAAATAGAAAAGTGATGGAACAAAAGATTATTCCAGAACAACAAGACTGCTTATACGTCAGGTAACCTGATAAAGGTCAACGGACCAAAACCTATATTGCCAACCTACAGGTGTTCATAAGCTTTTGTTCTTTTATGAAAAAAATATACCGAAACACAAAGGAAGACGATAAAACAACTTATTGGAAGAGCTGTTTTTACCCTAGTAGTCCATCCACAGTTCAATTGTTCCCCGGTACAGATATTATTCCTAACACATGCGTTTTAATCACTTTGGGGGAAAAAGGCAAAACTTTGTTAACAGATGAGACACTTTATTATCTGGTCTCTGGAGTTGGCTTTGATTTATTTATTTATTTTTCTATATGGGGACATAAAACAAACGTACTCACGCCTTGTTTTGTTTCCTTCCAGGTCTGCAGCTGTCCATCTCACTGTGCCACTCCACGGGGGAGAAGAAGAACAACCGGGCGTCTCCAGAGAAACCCAAACCGGACGACCACCTTTACGTACTGGAACACAATCTGCACCAGATGATGAGAGAGGTGAAACACTGCGTGAAGTCACTCTGCATGTTGCCCGAAGCCGCTGCCTAGCACAAATGTTAGCTCATTGCAGAAATAGGAGAAGCACAGAGATGCCAAAGATATGTTTTGAAACCGGGTCAACATTCTGTAGTTTGTCCACCACAGTGAGAGTAGTTTATTTTTCAACTGCAAAATGTTTAAAAAAAACGATTATATAAGTAATCTAACGAGTAAGGTTTTTAGAGCACAGTTTACTTCAGTTCAGTCCTTGTTGTCTTTATTAATGGCAACTTTGGCAAAAAGCAAACTCATCTGTCATTTATTGCTGCTCTGCATGGAGACATCTTGCCTGGGAATAAGGGTGTAGTATTGATCTCATGTTAATAACACACATATTATAATAGCGTGTAAATGATCCAGCGCCTCTTAAATCATTTTTATATATCTCTCTACCTCCCCACACTCATATTTTGAATTTAAATAATCTGACAAAAACGAGACGAAACTTAGAAGGAAGTGTTATTTTATAGTCAAATGTTCTCGTTAGCGTGAATTCGTTTGGCCACGATAACCGTGTAGAGAAAATCTGATGTTGTGACAAGAATCTGTGAGCTCATGTTTTAATTATTTATTTATTTATTTTATTTGGTTTGGCGTCGTCAAGCTAGAAGACATCCACATTCCATGATAAATACCCCCACCAAAAAGTATTTTCATTCACAATTACATTGTATCAATTCAACCCTGGTTTCTGTTACAGTTCCACAAGCAGCAGTTGAGCTCTGTGGTGATGCCGCATCCCGCCAGCGCCCCCTTCGGCCACAAACGCATGCGCCTAGCGGGGCCGATGGCCTACGACAAGGCCGAAATCTTTAGCCTGCAGCAGAATGAGGGGCTTCTGGAGAAGATCATCAAACAGGCCAAACACATCTTCCTACGCAGCAGGTACCTTTAGCTGTGCCAGCTATGGTTTTTATTCGAGGACTGATATGATCACAAAACCGATTAGCGGCAGTCATGTCATTGTGTCGCATATATTACAGTAACGTTAGGAGCAGACACACTTTCAACTATGCAAGTACCAGCGGAAGTACTGTATGTAAATCCAGGCGGGGGTGTCACAATTATCATGCCACTGTTTGCAGTGGAATTGAATGAATGAATGTTTTGCCAATGAGTCATATTTGCTCAGTTGCAGTGAGCAAACATTGCTCCATCCACGTGATATGAAACTTCCAAACATGACCCTCAGTCTTCGCAATGCCACGTTTGGCCAGAAGGCAGCACACTTTGTCCACGTTCCTCATCGTTTGATCTCCAGAAAATACAATTATAAGCAAAAACAAAAAGTAATTTGAACTATTTTGTTAAGGCGGTGTTGAGGATGTAATGCCTACTTGCTTCATGATTGCGATCACCAGGACGGCGCGGACCATCGACAGCCTGGCCAGCCGCATAGAGGACCCCCAGATCCAGGCTCACTGGTCCAATATCAACGACGTGTTCGAGTCCAGCGTCAAGGTGCTCATCACCTCTCAGGGCTACGAGCAGATCTGCAAGTAAGTGGAGGAGACGAGGGCAGGATGAAGGGAGAACCAGAGCAGGAAGTGGGACACAATGTGGGAAATACAGGGGAGAACCTACTAATGTATTTCTGAGCCGTTGTGGGCGTCTGCAGGCCCTTTAACAACGTTTCAAATGGTGTAAATTGAAAGCTATGGGTTATAATCGGAGGCAAATCGTTTTTTCAGCATGCTATACTTGTTTGCTTTTAGTTTTGCTGGCATTATGAAACTAGAAATAGTACTGAGACTCTTACATAGCTGTGAAATTCAGGCAACAATATAATGTGATTTCTTTTGGGGATTTTTTTTAGTCCTTCATTCTGGCGCATTTTTGGCTTGACATGTTTTGCGCCTTCAGGTCCATCCAGCTGCAGCTGAACATCGGCGTCGAGCAGATCAGGGTGGTGCACAGAGATGGACGCGTCGTCACGCTGTCACACCAGGAACAGGAACTGCAGGACTTTCTCCTCTCACAGGTATCACACTTCCCACACAGCAAACTTTCCACGCTGGTGGAGGCTGGCTGTATTCACTGGAAGCAGAGAGTTTGTGTGTGTGTGTGTGTGTGTGTGTGTGTGTGTGTGTGTGTGTGTGT